ATTTAAATTAATTTAATTTTTAATCTGATTTAAATTAATTTAATTTTAATTTAATATTAATAATTTATTTAAAAAATTTATTTAAAAAATTACTGACATTTCTTATCTCGATAAGATACTTCTTCAGACATTAGATTTAAGCAAATGATATACAAGTATATACAACAAGAACAAACAAACAATTTTCTTTTTCTTTTCTTTAATATTAGTCATTCTTTCGATAGTGATATGAAAAAATAAGACCGTAATCGTAATCGCTAGACCGCGGGATTGAATCATTTTCCATATCGCTATCACCGTCTTGTTTTTTGTTATTTCTTAGTTCTTTTGTATTTGTCATAATTTTCTTGGCTTATTTTAATTTTTCTTTGAATTTGTTCTTTTTCTTTGTATAAAATCGGTGTCCCATACTGCATTAATTTCATCATGTGTATTTATTGATTTACTTATTATTGAATAGATTGCTTCTTTTGTATGTCTTTTTCAATTATCTTTTTCTTCTTCAGTAATAAAGGTATCATTTGTATCAAATATACATTGAAATTTCTTTTTTTGAAAATGTTTAATCATGTCTGAATCGCTATTATCTTCATTATCATTTAGTGTTTTCACGTGTTGCTTCATTTGATTATCTATACCAACTTTTGTTTGACCAGCGTAAATTTGTTTGCATGAACAGGGAATTTGGTAGACAACAGATTTTGACGGAAGTTTTAATGGTTGATTAAATTGTGATTGTAGTTTGCATGGATAAGAGAAATATAATTTAATTTTTAATTTCTTTTCAATTCTTCTTTTTTAATACTACCATACCAGGAATATATGATAATATTACACTACAATTCATTTTGTTATTTTGATTTTGATTCAATGTATTCTTGTTGTTATTATTATCATTAGTATTTCTTGTATTTGATTAAAATCCTTCACATGTTTGTTTAATTAGTTTTTCAATTTCTTTTAATGGATAATTCGAATTTAATAACATGTTTTTTTACCTTCATTAAATCTTCCTTTTGATCTGGTCCGTCTTGTATTGTTTCTAAAATTCTTGTAGCCATGTTTTTCTACTATATTTGTTTTGATGGACTTTCTATGAGATGAAGGTGTGGGTGTGGATTGTAGATGGAAGTCTGTTATTCAACACCCATATTCACACCGAACCTACACCCACGTTCTCACATGCGCACCCACACCCACACCCGATCAGTCTAATCGATCATTCATATGAAAAAAAAATGAACTACCAGGAATTAGAAATTTAATTGGTGTCCATTACCACACTGAATTTTATTTTATGTTCACTTGATCAGATCAAAACACGAAGTAAATCGATGCGTCATTGAAAATGTATGGAAATATGCTTGAATCATACAAGACAAATAATTGTCGGCAGAAACAGTATATTTTCATCGGCAACAAAGCAATTGAATCATTAATAAAGCTTTGCTCTATATCAAACATTTGCTTTTAGCACTCAATGAAATGTTTCAACGATTTTAATTCATCAGAGGATACAATATTCGTTGAAAGTACTTGTCTGTTAAATATCATTTGTCATTTTGAGTGTTGATCAATATTACTGCTGAGATGGATTATATAACTCATATCAACGATAAACGCAAGTTAAATACCGTGTGCAGACTAGTTTTTCTCTAGTCGAACACATTTGAGCGAGAGTATTTCCAGATCATCAAGGGAGCATGTTGACATGCGTTTTAAAATTGTTCATGTTTTTGAAGAAAGCGACGATCTATACTAGCCATTATGTCACAGTGTGAAAATCAATAAAAGAACTAAAGTCTTTAATCTCTATGATTGCTGAATAGACTATTTAACTATTCTATATGTAAATAACTGCGACTCTCTAAATGAAATCCAAGTAATACTTTATCTAAAAATTTCATTGAACACTGTTCATTAGTATTCGATTCATATTGAATAAACAATTCTTGTTTATGGTTACTAGAAAAAGAATTCCAATAATCTATTACATTTAAGTTTGAATGAACTTTCGATCGAGAAAGTTTATGTTCTAATCCAGTAATAATATCATTCGAACAGAATATTCATCTGATGTTTTTTTTTTATTCATAATAATATGAATTTGATAGAATATAATGAATTTTACGTACAAAAATTTGTTTAACTGACTGATCTTGATGTGTTAAACTTTTCTATAATTGTAAAATATCTTTTTTTGTATACTGTCCTAATTTTAATATAGCATCGACTAATGGATCTAATTTTTTTTGTTATCAATCGTAAGTTTTCCTTCGAGTCTTATCACATATAACATTTTCAAACTTTGAATAGCATTAGTTTGATCAGAATATGTTGCATAATGGTAAATATATAAATTTTTTCGAAAGATTTCATCATGTAAGATATTATTCCATTGTTTATATATGAGTTATATAGAATATGAATTAGTTTCATCGATGATGAAATGACGAATTCAATTTTTAGGAATTTCTGATATGTCTGAAGATGAACAATAATTTTCAATTTCATACTTTATAATTAGATATAATAATCGGCTTTTTTAAAAATCTTTCTTGAATAATATCAATCCATGAGGACTTCATTATTAGAAGATAATGACATGGCTACTTGATATATAAATGATATTTGTTCGTTTTTTTTTCGTATTGAAAAAAAATTTATGGGCTTGTTCATTACACCGTATAAATAAATCACACAACATCATGTCATCATGAGCCAGAAAAGAAATGACTGCCAGAAGTTCACGATAATCTATCGCTGTCTTTATCCATTGGTGTGAATAATGAAACATTTACTTTTTTTAAAATTATTAATACTTTACGCGAAGCAATAAGAATTGTATCAGTTCTCTTTATCTGACATTTTTGAGGATATTCACGTTCGATGTACTCGTCTGAATTATTTAATATTGGTGCTATATAGGATGATGATGATCGGAAAAAAACTAAATCATATTTATGTCCATCATCCCACATACAATATTCATGTAGATCTAATTGATCACCATTATCACTCGATCAGGTCACTATGATATTAATCGTATTGACAACTTAATGTTTTCTATGTAATCAGTGTAAAAGAAATTCTGAGGAACTAATAATATCCCAACTGACATTTTAGTCTTCTGATACTCATTAAAAAAATGAATGAAAAAACAATGCGCAGTACTGAAAGAGATTAATAAAATCGGAAGAAAAAAATATATTGACTCTTAACTTGTTGCGGCACTTCTGAACAATTTCAAAAAATGAACATCTATAATAACATGATATAGAGATTTAATATGATGAATCTTTTATCATTTTATATCTGAAAAGTTAAAAGTATCCTCGCAGAAATGCAGGAATATTGTATACGGTGTTTCTATTCAATAAGACTTTACTGACATAATTAAGAATTATCTCAATGCGGTTCCCACTCAATAGTCATCGATTTGGGTGTGGATGTAGGTGTGTGTCTTCTCTTCACTCATTCACAATCACATCAACATTCAAACCTACATCCCAAAAAAGTTTCGTATGAATATTCATTTTTGTCAAGTGAAATAATAGTAATAATATTTCATCTTTCCTTTCTGCACATACCAACAGATGTTATAACTACAAATGAAAATTTTTTAGACGCTGATAAGGGACCCATGCAATGGCTATTGCGAATCAAAGGATGTGAGTTGAAACCACTTCTTTCATTAAAAGAAGCTGTCAAAACACTTGAGGCATTCATTCTATCTATTCAAAATTATATTTAATCTGCATTTTGTGAAAATCCTCTCGACAATTTAAACAAAGAAGAATCTGTAGCTGTCGATCTTTACACTATTGAATGTTTCTCTCTTTGCCTAAATGCAGCTTTACATAATACAAAACGTCAAGACCGAATACCCTACTTCTCCTAGCGCAAGCTGCTTTTGATGATTCTATAGAAAGTGCGAAATGTTGAAGGATATGTTTGCCATGGTGTTAAAGCTGACTTGTTCAAGTAAAAAAGTACGAACCATTCGAGCAGAAAAATGCTGAAAATCATCGGGACATGGAAGTAGCATTTCGACAAAATTTTTTCGGATTTTTCTTTAGTGGATTTCGGCCTACTTACAGTTCCTTCTAGCAGAAAACGCCCATAAATCATCAGAAAAAATCCAGAAATTTCTAACCGATGTTATTAACTTAGGTGGGCACAGATTATCTTGTGAAAAACAAATGTTTTTGATGAGGTTTAACATCTAGCGCAACATCATTGAATGTTCTATAATCTCACCAATTTTTCTGTAAATCAGAAACAAGAACTTTATTCAGAATCAAGTGTTATAATAGGAAACTAATACAAAATCATTCACAATTTCCTCAAGAATGTGAAGTGCTGCTACTGCTATGCAGGTATTGTGAAGTGATTGATAATAGAAAACAAGATGCAAAGTAGTGTATCATTCATGTTCGACAAATCGAATCATCTGATGTGATGATACAACTGCTGTCGTCTACATTACATGAAACTATACAAAAGTTTCAATACAGCAACTGCAACTTACGATCTATCGAACTGAAACGTAGCTTCATCAACATCATCCAATATAATGATAAACAAACATGTTTTAACATAGTTGATTTTGAATGCTTCAAGAAAGAAGCCAAGACTGTCATTGAGTATTGACAGTAACACACCTGTAATGACTAGTAATGATCATTATTTAATTTTTTTTTATCTAAAAGACATGCTTTCTGTAAGTGGTATTGATGAAAATGAAAAACTGAGATTTGTAAGAGATTTTCACGTAGATAATATTTGTTCATCATCATATTTAAATCAATTTCTTATTTCGGATATCAATCAGAGACTTTGTTCATTAGATGTAGCTGCTTGTAAAACTTAACGATTAAAATAGGTCAAACAAATTGGAAAACTGTTGGTCGCCGAGCTGTACATATTATCAAGAGACATTCTTAGTCTCTATACAATCAGTAATCGGAGAATATAATCTATCAAATTAGAAATGAATTCGAATGTTTAAACCACCAATTTTATGTAAAAAAGATCAAATAATTGAAGCAATGTGATATAATTTTACTGAATCATATTTTTCAGCCTTCTTACACGAGAAGAACTATGATTTTTTTATAATTATCCGTTTGAATTACGTAATACAAATAATATGCAGTAATTAAAAGTTACTGAGCTTTGTTATGATAAGAATGATTTTAGCTTCCTTCTCTATCTAATGTGTTGTTTTTTTAGAATCAATTCTAGTCAAACATTAAAAGAAACAATTGACTATGATGTAAATTATATAATGTCAACAGCTTTAATCAATAATAATTATCTTGTAATACAAGCTGAAGCAGAAAAGAAACTTTACTTCTTCGATTTATAAATTATTAACTTCATCAAGTTGTTTATTTCGATAAAAGATATCTTATAATAAATGATGATAAATTGTTAATGATATTTTTTATACTTTTTATTGACGCAGTAGACTGAAATTTTTATCACATGTGCATCTAATGAAGATCTTTTATTTCTAAAAGTTTCAGCTCTCTAGCTAAAACTAGCGGTGAAATAAATAAATTTTTTTGAAAATAACTTTTCAATATATTTTACTGTGAAAATATTGCAAGATAATTCCGTGGGTAGTCAACAAAAAAATCACAGAGCATTCAGCAAGTTCTCTTTCGTATCAAACTTTGTAGAACTTTTTTCGGTGATCGTTTTGGTAAAAAAAAACTTTTCGAATTTCATTGAGAAATGACGATATTATAGACAATATACTAAACACAGTAAAATGTAAGTAAAAGTTGATTCATATATTTCAAAACGGCTATCTTCTGGAGAAATGTGATATATTAGATTTTGTAGAGGAAACTTTGCTCTTCAAAACCCTATAATCGGTTTCTTTGATATAGACGAATAGGATGAATAAATCTCGATTGAACATTGTATACGATATTCCTATAAAAAAAAATCTAACATCTTTTGTTTTTACGAGAAATGTACATCATCATTTCTCAATGAAATTCGAAAAGTTCTTTTTACCAAAATGATCAGCGAAAAAAGCTCTACAAAGTTTGATACCAAAGAAAATTTTCTGAATACTTTGTGATTTTTTTGATTTACTACTCATGGAACTATCCTACAATATTCATTACGAAAATTATCGTTTCATCTATGCGGTGCATTGAATAAATTATAATACACATTCTTATGTTAAAAAAACTTACGAAAAAATGGAATTTGGAAGTATCCATTGCTCTACAATATATACTAGATCCAAATTTTCCTTTTTTTGATCTAGCAAAATATGAAACAAAGAAGTATAAAAAATCGCCTTTTTTAATATATATCCAGGTCGATCTGGATGTAAGTATATAGGTTCGGATCAACACAAGACCAACTCTCACACGCGACATGTCAAACACTAAATTATAATTTTTGTAGAAAAATTTCTGACTCAGCTCCTGAAAAATTTCAACAGTTTATTGATAATAGCAAACACCAATTTGAGCATTTCAATTAAATTTTTCTATAAGTTTTATTTATCTACCATTACATAATACTGTCGATAATTATTTTTCTCATTTTGCTTTTTATACTGTCTGAAGTGAGAAACAAAAAGTATTTTTTGAGGATCATCCCATAGATTTATTTCCTAATCTATTTTTTGTTTCAACTCTATTTGTAATAATAATAAATAATGACGCAGTCACCTTTGAAGTATTATTTATTATTGTAGATTTTATGATGCAATGTCTTGAGAAATTTTCACAATAATTATAATAAACGAAAATGTCATGGATAACTTTCATACTTAATAATGAAAGTTTAATAGATAGTTGAGATATTTTATGAACAGATGTGAGTGTGCATGAATCATTCAATAAAATTGAATTGGAGTCAAATTTCGATTTTCACTTTTATAAGAAGAAATCTTCTGTTAAAGTTGTTCTTTTCATGAAATTGTTAAAAATTTATGGACTATTAAGAAAAAGAAAATAGACTTCTTTACATGAAAAGAGTCTATTTCACTCTCACTGGAAGAATTTTTCATTTTGTTTTAAATAGTATGGTCAATGCGCGAACGCAAATGACCGCGGAATAAATTCTCCACTCGAGAAAGTCCGATGTGGACTTTTCGCAGGCGTCAACGGGGACGATGTGCAATGCCCTCGCCTCAGCCTGGAGCATACACTTTGTTGATCGTGAATGCATCCGTGGCAGGTAAGTATGATCATTGCTTCATCTTCTTTATCATATATACTTATATAACAGGCACAAAATGCACAGTAAACTAATAAAATGAATGGAAAAAAAGAAAACAGACTATGACTCATAATTAACGCTTCTTTTTCTTTTCTTACATTCTTTCAAGTCTTTCACATCACCACGTTTCAATATATTCATGTTTGTGAACACATTATGACAAGAAATCACTTAAATAAACGAGCATTTTCGCTTCCAAGAAAAGAATTATTGTTTTTTTTTTTATATATCTTAGTGCGAACGAATAATGGATGAAACAAGTGTTGTATTCCATCCGTTGAAATTTACAAAGTGTATTCTTTTTTTTAATTGAATCCAGTTCTTGAGTTCCATAGTGAATTTCTTTACTCTATGATTCATGAAATACGTAGGTTGTCTATCGAATGAATCAATGAAAGTATTTGACATAGATCATATAACATATTTCGATGATATTAAAAGATGAGATAACTTCTGTTTAAGGTATATGAAAATTCTTCATCATGATGAAAATAACTACTAAAATGAAATCTAAAGCATTATTCAATGGAATATTTACTGCATATTTGCAATCTATCAAACATATTCCATTATTTTTTTTTATTATGCTGATCTTTTTTATATTCTTATTAGAAATATTAAATCGTATCTAAATTTTCAATAAATAACGAAAATATATGATGGATATTGAAGAATCTCACTCGTTGTTTTGTTTCATTCAAGGAATTGGGTGTGAACAGGAATAAGAAGAAGATCCACACTCATATCTATATTTTCCTAGTTTTATGAATACATTTTATCGATGAAAAATATGAATCGAACTCTTCATTGATTTTGTGCAACGTAAGTTATTTTTATGGTTTTATTTGATCAACTATTATTTTCAAATTTAATTTAAAAACAAATCATTGGATCAAACAATAGAATTAAACTATCTAAAAGAAAGAAAATTATGTTACTTCTAAGAAAATTCTTAATAAAGATGGTAGTGGTGAGCTACAATAAAATAAATTAAAGTTATGGAAAATAAAATAGTCATTATGTGTATAAATTTTATTGAATTACATTACCTCTTATAAATCATAAACCAGTTAAAACTTAAGGTGTTAATAGTCTCCTTAAACATGTCATTTAACTTTGACATGATTCATTGTACCACATTGTTCAATTATGTGATCAATAAAAATCGATAAAAAAGACTATTACCACAATTTCTTAATGGATTACAACGTAAACTCTATTTAATTTCTCAGCTAAAACTGAATCGATATTATTTTAGATTTATTTATAAATTTCTAATTTTCTCATTTAACAATTTATAAATATAGATAATAAATGATAAGTTCGAAAGTGGTTCTGTCAAAATCTATAGGATGGAAGTTAGAAACAGTCTAAACGATCTCATTCTACACTGTAATGCTTCTTTAGGTCTTGTTTCATAAAAATTTACATCTATTTCTAATAATAAACGTTTATATTCATTGATATCATTAAATATTAATTCCATGAATATATGGATTGGACTCGATGTCGATCTAATCTATGTATCTTTCATATCTAATTTTTATGATATTTTAGTCAAACAAAAAAGGCGCATAAATAATTCAAGAAAGATCACTGAATTTAAAGTCTTACTTTTACTGTAGATTTTCTTCGGTAGTTGTCTATTAATTGAACGAAAAATACCAATTTTGAACGATTGATGATTTCAATAAAAGTGCCCATCTACTTAAACATCTAAGCTTAAATGACACGAATTTTGTTCAATACTTTATTTAACAATCAAACTTTTAGGTTTTCTAGGTAAAAATATTGTGAAAAAAGTCTCTGCCTTTTCTAGTGTTAAACATTTGAATAATGAATTTTCTTTCTATCTACTAATATTTTTTTTCGAGGTCACTTCGATTCGTCAAAAATACATTGAAATTAGCAGAAAAAGTTTTGTATTATATATCTGTGGACTTTTCCTACATTCGAATAAAGAAATCATTTCCACAAAGAAAACCAATATTAAAATTGGAAGATGTGACTCTATTGAAAATTAGTCCCAAGCGAGACTATATAAATATGAATAATCAATATTCATCACAAATATTTCCATAAATTCAGCAAAAGTTTTTGTAAGAGTTATCGAAACAGCAATGAACAACTCAAACAAGACAGAAAATCATGGCTGTGGGCTTGCAATGTTTGTGAACAATATACGAATGATTACAGAAAGAAAGTAGTATAAAAGGCTCGAAAGCGATGTAACAAGAAACTAGATATTGCACAATGAATTTACATTGGTCTCGCGATAACTACAAAGAGTTAAGACATTATGATTGTGTAGTTTTTTCTTTTTTACAGAGTGTCTTTTTTTTTGTTTTATAACAGGTATCATAAAACTATGTTCGATGATTACAAAATTTTGAGCACGAATCAAAAATGTTATTCAATGTCTTGCAAAGCTTTGAACACTTCTAAATTTACTGAGTCAAACGAATAAGATATTTCAAAACATAAAGCGAAAATTAATGCGCAAGTGTTACAACTACTGCACAAGCATCCAATGCAATCTTTTTCAAAGAAAAAAGTATCAAATTTGATGACTGAAATTTCAAATTAAAACTACCGATAGGTCTATCGACACCAACTCCATTTGTTCTAACATTTCATCCAAGTTCAAAAGCAGATGCACTAACATTAGCCATTGATAAGTCGACTCCAGTTTTAATACTTAATCTAATATTTGCTTCAATATTTTCATTCTTTAAAGACACAGTATTTAATTCTGCACCAATAACAGCATTCATTCCATCTGCTTCAATGGATGCTTTTGCATAGGCTTGCCATTGACCAACACTAATATCAGTATTTTCTAATTTACGTTTAGAAAGAGATCCATCTGTATGAGCATTCGCTTTAAGACCATCGTTTCCAATTGTTGCATCTGCATCAACTTGACATGCTAAAAGAGAATTTGTACCATCAGAATAAAGTAAACCATCTATCTCTATATGTGCAGCATTATTGAAATCAGAACAAAATTGATCGATTTCTTCATTAATATTATTATCCAAAAGTTCTGTTACAGCATCTATTAAATTATCAGTAAATGATGCTTTTGGATCCAATTTAAGCGAGGATGTGAGTGTGGGTGTGAGTGGTGGGTGTGGAACGGATGTGGATAGAATAAATGTGGTTGCTCACTACAAATGCCCTACATCCACATCCTCACACTTACCCACACGCATACACCCACACTCATACCCACATCCACACGCATACATCTACACTCACACCCATATGTTCATTCTTTATCATTGATAAATTGAGAATTTGTCTCAGAATTAGACTTTTGATACTAGTACGTCGATTCAAACAAGCTCTATGTACAAGAAACACCACTAATTAGCCATTTTGCTGAGTCACTTTCTTTTACAAATGTTCTGATGCTTTGTAAAGAGAATAGTAGAATGTGTTGAATAGGAAAAACAAATAATGGAACAGAGAAAAAAATTCGATGTAAAATATACAACAAATGTTAAGAAAACTTCGAAACAATTTGCATAAATTTGAAGAATTCAGAAAATAGTTTTACAATTACTCATCCGTTATAAAAGATCGTATATCAATGAAGCATTGCACCCGACTTCGAAGATGAAAATGAAAGTTTGGAGCTAACGAGGTAACCCTTCAAACTGATTCAAAACTTTTGATCTGATATTTTGCTCATAAGCAGGACTAGATGAGACTAGAAGAGATTCAAAATAGTAAGAGCCCATATGCTTTCGTTCTAAAATCATAACCGTTTTACTGGGTTTTGCCCAGTGTAAGGTATATTCCAAAAACAATTGAATGACGAAATTTCGATCTGAGATTCTCTCCATCTATAGGTTTCAAAGTCTTTAGAATATTCTAAAAGTTTCAGTGCAAAACAGATGATCCCTTCCTGAGATAATGAATATACAAGAAAATTCTGTATTTCTCATATCTCTGTGAAATATAGGCGTTTCTTGTCTATGAATTATCTAGGGAAGGGACCATCTGTTCGCGCTGAAACTCTTAGGATATTCTAAAGATCCTGAAACCTATAGATGGAGAGAATCTTAGATCAAAATTTCGTCATTCATTTGTTTTCGGGATATACCTTATACTAGGCAAAACCTAATAAAACGATTATAACTTTGGAACGAAAGCATATAGGCTCTTATTATTTGGCGTCACTTCTAGTCTCACCTAGTCCTACTTATGGATAAGATATCAGATTAAAAGCTTTGAATCACTTTGAACGGTTCCCTCGTAAGACTATGGCAACTTTTTCTGAAGGAATTGTTCAACCTGAGCAATATTTCAATGAGTTATTTTGTTCTTTTTTCTTCAACTAAGTATTTCTAAAAAGACAAAACTTCAAAGAATATAAAATAAAAGTTTTTTGCCAGTACTTTAGATAAATAACTGAATAGTTTTCGATCATGAGAGAATTATTGTTTAAATGCTGATGTTAGCAAACTCTAAATGAAAAAAAAAATTAAATAAAGATGAAAACAGTATTCGATCTCCTATCAAACATACTGTATCTCCACCAAATATTTTACCGAATGCTGGATATTTATTTGTGACGCTAACTATCATTCGATCAAATTTAAATGCTGTTGGATAAAAATCAATATCATAAGTATTGATTACATTATCACGAATCATTTTAACTAATTATTGTTTCTTTCTACATCGTGCTTCAAACTCTGCTGGCGATAGATCTCGAGCAACTTCTTCAAAAGTTTTATCAAATCTTGTAATCGTATAATTTAATGAAAGGTTTTTTTGATTGAGATATTGTTGAACCTGTTAAAGAATTATCTAACAGTTGATGGATCATTTGATTAAGTGATGCACTAGTAAGTTGTGGACAATTTGTATTTGATAAAAATTGATCAAGCGATAGATCTGATGGATTTGAAGTCGATAGAGACAATATCGGTTGGTGTCACAGATCAACATCGTCATGTTCACTAGCAATATTTGAAATCATTAAAGAAAATGATAAATTATTGGATTGATAAGAGTGTAATTGTTGTATAAGTATATCAGATTGTTTTTCATTTAAGGGCCCCCCACCCCTCTAAATTTTTTTTTCCCAGAACACTCAATCTTACTGAAATTTTTATTGAATATGTATCTGACCATTGATAGTTCTCAGTAAAAGTTTGCGCTCATAATATTGAGTTTTTCGCGAGTTATTGTAGCATCAAGGGTCAAAAGTTGGTGTCTGTGTGTCAAAGATTTTGTTTTCAATTTTAGTGATACGGACCTCGGGATGGTGTCAAAATGTAGAGAAGACCTGCCCCTACAACCTAACAAAGCCGGATTTTTGAAAAAAAAAATTAATTTTTTTAGACAGTTTTTTCGAAAAACCTAGATCAATTTTTTAGAAAACTCGAGTTTTTTGTAAACAAATAAATTGAAAACAAAAATTCTGGCTTTGTTAGGTTGTAACACTGATATTTACCTTTATTTTAAAACCTTCCCGAGCATTCTACTATTTAAAATGGCGGAGAAATCTTTGACACACAGTCAAAGAAAACGGAAAAAAACAGTTTCGAGAAAAACACAAAACAATTTTTTCTTTGATTATCGCGATTTTTTCGTTTAAAAATGGTAGTGAATAAACAAGAAGGCAGTTTATTATAGGTTATCGACTATGGCGAATCGTATGAGCACATGGAGAGATATGTGTGACGTAGTTTTTTTTACGTGTAAGCGTTGATCTCACGAAAAACCATCAAAAACCACTGGTTTTTGAAAAAATCTATAAAATTACTTGAATTTAATATGTATAATGAAACTAGTGTTTTGAATCAGATATTACGAAACAAAACATTCAATTTTCTGTTGCCGAGTAGGCAAAAGAAAATTAATGACTTATTCTTGTGTTTATTGTATAAAAAAACATACAACGAAATTCGCGGGTTCATGCTCAGTCATCACCACCTGGCTCGTAAGCATCATCCTCTTTAGCTTCACCTTCTTCACTCTCTATTGATTTCAATAACTGAAGTTTTCGAAAAAAAAATTTTTTGATGCAGGGGTCTTCAGAAAAACCGTTGTAAAACCCTCAAAACCCATCGAAAAACCAATAAATTATAGTGCATTCGAAAGTAGAGATAATGGGCTATCTAACTATGTATAAATCTAAAAATCGATATTTTTGTCG